GTGCCACAATGCAACATAGACCCAAGTGAACTGGGCTGGAGCCAGGCATGGGGGCACTCTTCTCGGCCTCTCTGAGGGCCAGCTCTTATTCTTATGAGGAGTCCTCTGTGCTAAGCCATTGTCGTGACTGCCTGAGATGACAGGGCCACCAGGATGAGCCCTAGCCTGACCCCGGTGGGGTGCTGGGCGTTGGACCTCCACCCTGTGGGTCTCCTGGCTGTGAACCTGTGCTCAGTCTGCAAACAGTGCCCACACACTAGGTGTGCCGCTCTGAGACGTGCTTTAAACACGAGTCCTGTCTGTTCCAGCAGTTGGTGGTTCTGGTGTTATCCATCAATAAACAAGTAAAACACCAGAAAGAGCACAGAGCAGGGAAAGGAGGTAGAATCACCATTAGGCCTAAATATTTTTATTTCCCTCCCAATATTTTGCATGAAAATATGGATAGCCTAAGATCTTTCTTACTACAATGCTGCCCACAATACCTGACTTTTCCAGACTCCGACGTCGTATCTGTATCCATGACGTGAGGCTGGCTGGGGCATTCTGGGCCCCTCTGAGGCTGTGGGACCATGGCCAGGGCTAGCTCAGGAACTGGGTGCTGAGTGCCTTGTCTCCTGGGATGTGGGCTGGCAGCAGTGACCTGCTCCCTTCTCACCTAGAGGCCATTCACTGACTCCGTGACATGGCCCCGGCTGCTGGTGCTAACACTCCGGGAGGCTTTCCAAGAGCCTGATTTGAGTCCACTCCTGTCAGCTGCGGTGTGTGATCCAAATTATCTAACTCCACACGAGAGCAGAAGCGATGGCCTCGAGGCTTGCTCCTTGGGAATCAGAGGTGCTGATCCAGCGGGGTCTCAGGCCCCTGCGCCTTGGCTCCAGCACTTCCTGGTCCCGGATCCAGGAACAGGCCAGCCAGCTGCCTTCCTTGTGTGAACTGAGCTTTGCTTCCTCACCTGCAAACATGGGAATTATTGTGCAAATGCACAAGCTCAGCCCAACAGAATGCCCCAGAGCACCCGTCCCTGCCCAGTCTCTGCATGCCCCTCCCTCCTGCCCTCCCCCCCATCCTGAAGCCACTACTCTGTAGGTGGGGACACCAGGCTTGACCTTCCAACCCAGAGCCAGGCACCCTGACCCTGTGGCTCCATTCTGGAGGGCACTTGGGGTGGGTTTCCGTGTCCAAGGTGCATTATTGCTGATGTGCTGTGACGTCCCTTGTTTTTAAGAACACTGGTAAACCTGTTAGGCTTCTGCTACGGGGTGCACGCGGTGGCTTCCCACCCAGGTAGTGAGTGCCAGAGTGTGACACCTTTTGCAGGGGGTACAAACCTACAAGGGGCGACCTTTGATAGTAGTAGTAAGTTAACAGCTTTTCCAGATTTGGCTCAACGGCTTTCTCTGGCCTCTAGACACTTTTTTTTTCCAGTCAAGAAACTGAATCACAAATGATGGAACTATTTGATAATCTGGGAAAAGCACATGATTTTCCTGTGTTTCTAGAATGTTTGGACACACTTTGGTGCATTTATTGTAGATTTTTTCAGAAGAGCAATTGGATCACTGACACTAAATGATGAAGTACTTGACCTTCAAAAGTGCCTTGAGGTTGACAAAGCTTATTAAACACATTATCTGGTAAAATGACTAACAGTATGTAGAAGCAGCTTCCTGGTGTTTCTTGGTACCTGCCACGTGCACAGCTCGAGTTCTGGAACCTTTCCACACCAGCACTCTTCCTCCTTGGGGAGAGCAGTGCTTCATTATCTGCCGGTGCAGAAAATGCACAGGTTCCAATTTCCTGTGCCTTGGGAACAGGGTTGGGCCCCGGAGGAGAAGGATGGGGGTAGAGCAGGGCTCCAGTCCTGGTCTGGGAGCACCACATCTATACCTGGGCGGCGTGCCTTCCCGCCCACAGCAACAGCACCTTGTCTACCTTGGATTCTGCTTCAGGTGCCTTGTCCCTGGAGGAGGGACTCGGGGAGACTAGTTTGTGCTCTCCCCCCTTACGTTGATAGAAAACTACTTTCTGATTGTAATAAAGAACGTTCCAAAGTAGGTTGTTTTCTGAGGGCGACAGAACCCATTACTTGGCTTTAAATCTCATTTTAATGAGGAGGAGGAATTCTGCAAAAGTGGGCCCGTCAGGTTCTCAGACTGTTTCTAATTAGAATTTAAGTTGGTTTTAATGTCAGTTCTAAAGAACCCGTGGTGGAGAATTACTAGCTACCTGCAGAAACACCATGCCAGGATGGTACCTGGGCAGTCCGAGCCACAGAACGCGTTGCCCTCAATTTTCAGGAAGCGAGAGTTTTGGGGGTGGGAGAAGGTGCTGGGGGCGAGGGACGCCTGTGGGTGAGCCAGGTCCTGGTGATTGAATAACCTGCTTAAAAATTAAACCAGCCATCATTGTCCAGAGGGGAAGAGGGGCAGTCATCTGACCCCGTGCCTAAGCTACTTATGTCCTCTTGCTGAATCACTGAGGCCAGTCTCCCAAACCTGCTTCTCCTCCTTTTAGGGAAGAGACAATTTCACCACACTGTCTCTGTAATGATCTTGGTTGAGAGTATCTTTTAGAAACACAGAGGCACAAAATCTGAAATCCATCTTGAATGAGCATTGCATTACTGTTTCTTGATGGAGAGGTAAACAGGAAGTGAAATTTGCAAAAATTTCCCCAAAAGTGTGAAAAGAAAACAAGGAATTCCTAACTGCTTTCTACCTGCAGCCTGGCTGATTAGAAAAGCATTAAACTCTGGAACTAGTTTATTAACACTTTATTTAATCTCCTCGAGCATAGGATCATTTGGAGAAGTGAGCTAATTTTGTGATTGTAAATAGTACAGTCAGGAGAGTTGACATTAATTAAGGCAAAAGCATGTTTGTTTGTTTGTGAGTCTCTTTGAAAGGCAGATGCAGAGGGAAAGGCCTAGAGTTTCCAATGGCTAACAGGTGAGAAGACCTGCTATGGGTGTACCTGTGGGTGAGGTCCTAGGCCTTTCTTTGCTCTTGTATGTTCATCTATCAAACCGGGATTGAAAAGCAGCCATTCTGTGAAGATTAGCAAACACCATATGACTTGCCTAACCAAATGTTTGGCCGTCAATGATCATGATGGTCATTTTGCAGGCAATAGACTAATGTACACTAGGGGCTTGTTAGATTTCTAAACAGTAGTTTAAAAAAACTCGATAAAGAATTATTCAGAGGATGGAAATTTTTATTTTATTTTACAGACACATCAAATTCAAACTACTACGAAAATTTATGTGGCAAAAAACCACAAGCAGCGAGGGAAAACGTCACGAGCACTAGATGGACATTTGTAGAAGTCAAGTTGCCCAAGACACAGATCGTACTGACCAAGGACCTCCGCTGGGGTCAGGGCCCGCACTAGAGTGGGTGCTCTGCAGGCCATTCTGGACTGCTTCAACCTGGCCCTGGGCTTCATTGCTGCCGGGCCTCTGCAGGGGCCAGGAGTCTGCCCATCATCAATCTCCACCACCCTGAGGGCTGCTGAGGCCCTGGAGGACACAAAGGGAAATGGGGGGGGAGGACAACGTGGCATGAGGGAGGGGAAGGAGACCTGGGAGACCACATGGAAAGCCTTTCCCAGGAGGCCCTCAGTCACGGGGAGGAAGCCCTCAGCAAGGTCTCTGGGGGGAAATACATGGCACGGCCCCCAGACAGAGCTGGGAGCCAGGGCAAGGGTCAGAGGCAGGTGCAGCTTATTCAGGAAATCACTGTTGCTCTTTATTAAAAAAAAAAAAAAAACTACCACTACTCCCCAAAATGATCTCAACCCCAATGTCGTTTTAACCTTATCAGTATTCTCCCTTTCAGTCCAAGAAATATAGACAAAAGTACCTTAGGTTCCAGAACAGTACTCCTTGATATTTTTATTTGCTTGTTATTTAGACATGAATGAATTGAATTTAAACAAGGATTTGAAATAGAACAATCATAGCCTCACTACCTCAAACAGGAATAGTGCCCTACCATTTTCCAAACGTCACCTAATTTCAGTTTGAATTCATTTTCTTAAATATGTCAAGCTGATTGAATCAGGAATATCCCTGGAAAGAGCCCTTCCTCACACTGAGCTGTTATTTTCCAAACATAAAATTCATATATTTTCTCAACAATTCATTAGCTGGGGACCCCCTCCAGGGATGGTAAGCCTTGCAGGAAATTAATTCCTAAATGAGAACTTCCTGCAGAAACTTCTCCCACGTGACTGGCAGAGTTATCTAGGAAAGATGCCCTCAAATGCATGGTGCAAGTCAAGGAACTCGCCAAAAATGTGAATATTTATCAGGGAGCTCTCCAGAAGAAGCAGCCAATCATCATTAGATCCTCTGGTGTTCATTGTAATAAAATTAATCTCGATTAATTCATTCATTATTAATCTTGCATTCAAATGCAATTCCATGGAAATTGCATTGTGATTTAGCAATTAATTTACATGCCAAGATTGAGAAGCATTCCCTTGCTCCTCCAAGGGACAGCTCCTCTCTTGCATCATCATCCCCCGTAGGTGAAGAAGACACGATTGTCTGAAATATGCCCGGGAAATTAAAGCAAATATCTAAGCAACACACGCGAAAGCAGGGAGAGATCTTTCCAGGCTCATGTCCTAAAAATAGCAGGAAATTTGCAGCATTCCTTAGGGAGGAGAAGCATACACACACCCCCGATGTCCAGATACAACTCCTGTCATAAGCAGTCAGTGGGATTTTAAGTGCCTGATTTCTGCTCCTCATCCCAGTGAGGTCTTAAATAAGAGCGTTTGTATAGAAATTCTGAAAGAGCACCATAGGCCAGTGCACCGAGCCCTTCTCCCTTCTGCTCTCTGGATGGGGCCACATGTACAGGGAGCCTGGTGAACGCTCATGGAGTTGTCCCTTCCTTGGACCGGAGCTCACAGGCTGACTGCAGAGTGAACTTTCTCATGGAGTCAGCAGACAAGGGTACATGAGGCCCTTTTAAGGTTTACGTAGCAAGCTTCAGCAGCACATGTACTAAACCTGGAGTGATACAGAGCAGGTTAGCGTGGCCCCTGCACAAGGAAGCACACAAATTTGAGCAGTGTTCCTTACTTTTTAGAAAAAAAAAATTCTCAGTATTTACTTCTCCAAACTCCTCTCAATTTATAAATGTTGTGAAATTCCTATTAATTCTCAGTAATGAAA